AATTAACCCGCTGCAAATATCCATACTGACAAATTTTCAATTTTAATTGTACAAACCAAATTTAAACTGGCATCAATCTGAATGTTTCCTGATGAGTAGGGATGTTCAGATACCAAGTACCGTACTCGGTACAAGTACAAATACTTTTCCTGCTCCAGGACTAGACAACAACTCAAAAGTTAGGAGGCAGCTGCCATTTTTAAGGAGCATACAGAGCACCTGGGATTTGTGCATTAATGTATGATTTGTGTTTTATATATATATATGTGTGTGTGTGTTATATGTAAATTAGGTACAATCCATGTACCCATTGCACTCCTTACCGCTAATCCGTAATGATAGGTTGGGTGCATCAGTAGTCGACGGATGGCCACCGTCTGAATCGAGTATAAGAAGTTATGGACACCGGCACTCCAAAGTACAAAAACGTCTCTTTATTGACGTTTCATGCAACAATAAACAATACACTTATTGCAATAAGTGTACTGTTTACTGTTGCATGAAACGTCAATAAAGAGAAGTTTTTCTACTTTGGAGTGCCGGTGTCCATAACTTCTTATATGTAAATTAGGGATGCACCGATGCCATTTTTCCAGAGTTACAATTACTGATACATTTTTGTTTAGTGTCATGTTACAGTCTTTCTAAAACAATACAGACTAATGATTGTTGTGGAGCGCCAGGGCCCAGTCCCAGCTGCAACTTCTGCACCCCTGCTAGTTCCAAGTATCGGCACTGGTATCTGAACATCCCTACCAATTAGTGGTTACCTTACTTTTCATTTCACTGTCTGTGGAGACACTTCAAAGCATATTTATAAAGCAGTGAATATGACATTCCCCAAACATATGCTGCAGGTGAGTATTTCTGGTGAATCATTTTTAATCAACCGTAAAGGATTCACCACCAGAATCTACGTATCTGACATCCTCGAGAAGCAGCAGCTTTCCAAGTTTGTTTTTTTTTCTAGTTCTCTGAACTGTCGTTTTTAACTGTTCTCTAAATGTTCCTTTAAAACCTGGTTTTGGGAGCACACACTTTCATTAAAATAGCTGCTTTCCTTTCATGAAGTGGTCCCTTTAAGATAAGCCTGCAAGTTTTCCAAAGCCATTAAAACATTTTCTTGTTTGAGCAGAGTGCATGATATATTATGATATTGTATATACAGCTAACATTGTTACTAGTTAACCTCCTGCTCACCCTTTGTGGAATGAATCATACTATCATGCTGCATATTGTAATGATCTATTCCTTGTACTGTTCACCAATGGATGTCCTCACAGGGACAACTTATGCCTTCTTCATGTGATAACATTTATAAAATTCTTAGCTGCAGCAATAAAGCTGCAAAACTGAGTAAGCCATTTTAATTTATCATAGCATTGTTTATTTATTTTGGCTATAACAAGTCCATCCTTCCTGATCTTAACTGTAAAATTCTGGCTATTGTGTCATCTTGATTGCAGAACTCTCCGTAAATGAAAACCATTTTGCATTGGCTGCTTAAAGCCTGAAGGGCCAATCACAGATGATCCAATGTCCACCAGGTGTACTAATTTCATGTATACATTAATTGCCGATTGCTGGGATAAATATAGCTTGCTGTTCATTGGTAGATTTGTGAACACACTTTCATATGGAAAAAAACTCTTCAGAACATTTGATAATGCCTAAATCAGAGATTTGATGGGCGTCATTTTGAAATGTCTTTTGATTTTAAACATTTGATTTTGGAATGAAGGGAGTTTCCTGAACGAAAACCACATTGGCTGTTAGAATTTTGTTCAAGTAAAATCTTCCATCCTGCTTCTTCAGTTTTTTTTTTGTCACTGCAGTTGACAAAATGATTCTCGATTTGGCCCCGGTAAATATAAGAAATGTGCATGCTTGTTCTGAAACGCATTAAAATCCTACTGGCATTTGCCCAGCTTTAGGCGTGGTGACTTAGTGACATTGAGGGCAAAAGTCGTCCCCCCCAGTGCTAATATATAAGGACTTACCTTAAATGATGCCTCTTAATCCGATCATGTACTTTCCTGTAGTTTTTAGCTGTCCATCCAGCGCTGGTGCGGGTCTCTGATCCAGCGCTGACTCCTCTGTCCTCCTCTTCTCTCATGTCCCATGGTGTCTGCACGCTGCTCCATATACTTACCTTGTGTCTCCCGGCCGAGCATCTGAACTGCGCATGTGCCCGCCCCAAGATCCTTTGCAGCTGCCCAAGAAATTTTCAGATGTTCGAACGGGAGCGCTTATCTGCTCGCTATCAGTAGATATATGCAAAAACAAATGAGGGTTTAATAACCCTTTAATGGCTTTTTTTCCGTCTGTAGCATGGTTATGTTTGTGACTATCTTCTCCTCCTGAAAAACTTTTGGTAAATAATTGGAATAAATGTTTGCCAGTGTTATTCATTATGCACTTATATAGTTTATACGGATCACCCTCAGTCCCTACCTATATTGATAAAATTAAGCTGCCCAGGGACAATGTACCCATTTTACCTGCTTACTTTGGATGGGATTATTAATTGTAAAGTTTCCCATTTCCCTTTAAAATGAAAGATCCCTGATTAGTTTCTCAGTTGCTCACTAATAAGATGGCTGATTAGGCCAGGGGAATTGTATCTTAAAATATTTTTTGCACGTTACAGAAATATTTTAGGCAGTTCATAAATAGGTCTGTTATCGCATGAATCATCGTAACCTTTCATGAAATGTCTAGCAACAGGTAATTTACAAAACTCTGCAAGTGACCAGAGGCATCTGAGCAGCAAGCTAAACTTTTATCTGTTCTGATTTCTCAAAAAGAAAAAAGCAGCCAAAACTCTTAGGGCTGCCCGTTCTTTGCCTTCAGGGCAAAGTGTGGCGCTCATAAATGAGGTGAAACTAATCATTTTTATGAAATCCTTAAATGTGTAAAAGTAATGTAATTGAGGTTTAATTAACTGATTTCTTTTTTTGTCTGGCCCGGTATCTTTTGACTCCATCATTCCTGACTTGTGATATCCATTTAGTTAACAAGCTGCAAGTAGCAGTTCTTTGGCAAGAAGTGTCAATTCAGAAAAAAATGACTTTGGGGAAAAATTAGCTGCACATACCTTCCTTGAAGAATCAATTTATTTAAAAAGCCATCCGTCACACCTTTCTGCAACTTCACTAACATTCATTATTTTTATGTTAGCTGTAAATGACCTTGAGCAATGCCAAAAATCAAAATGAATTACTGAAATTGGCAAAGGCCACCACGGCTTTGTTTAAAGTTAATGTGTTGTGAATTGTGGTAAGAAGCAGGCAGAGAAAGTTTAGGAAGAACTGTGCTAATATCTGATGATTTCCATGGAGCCCACATCAAAGTATATGCTATTAATTTGTTTTTACTGTGACTATATTTGAGTTTTATGAGCTATGCCACGCAAGTAATTTTGTAGCAGCTACAGCTTCAGAAGCACAACGGTTCCAACCCCTTGTAGAACATTTGCGGAAGCATTTGAAGCTAGCCATAAAGTCACTATCTACAATAGCTGCCAGTGTTGTGTAATGTAGCTTCTGTTGACCATGGCACACCAGCGATCTATCGCTGCATAAACACGTATTGAAGCCAGGTACAGCAGAAAATCGGTACCAATCTACAAAGTGTCATAAATATAAAGCTTTGATGGCATTCAAATGGAAAAACTTGGGTTCTTTTGACCCAGAAGGAAAGAATATTGTAGTGTCAAATGGAGTTAACGGTCTTTCGACTTATGCCGTTGTGATCATTCAGAATTAATTGACAGGAGGTGCATTTAACCTCATTCTGACCTGCATTTGAACTGCTTCACGTGGTTTTTACATTTTATAGCCTTATTTGAGAATGCAAAATTAATTTTAAATTAATTTTCTGTGTCTTTTGTGCCTTTTCTGTGTCTTTTTTTATCTTCAAAGATTAACCGAACAAACTACAGAGAGAAGCTGATTGGTTACTATGGGCAACTGCTCTATACTCCGACTGATCCAGTTTTGATAACTTCCCCCTATAGTGTTTACCTTTTTAGATGTTTTATATGAATTTCACTTATTTGTATGTCCTAAGGATCCTTATTTTTGTTATAAATGGGTATTTAGATTAACCTTTATAGGGACTTCTAGGTAACACTACTAAAATCTCTTCAGCTAAGATATCAGACATATAGACAGCACATGCTTTTCAAGGACTTTGCTGACTTATAGACTTGCATTGTGCGTAGGAGCAGTGAAACATATGCTGTGTGTAGAACTGAAAAGCAGGAAACTGAACATGCTTATGTAATTAGGTAACGTCTGCTACTGTGTACATAAAGAAATATACATAGAAATACAGTTTTTATACCACTTGTTAATGTGGGTCCAATCGCACCATCAAGAGTGCGTTTGGCTTCTGGAACGCTACCCAGCCGGCTCACTTTGCATTGAACTCAATGGCACCCCAGCCACGCCCCTTGCCTGCGGTGCGATCGCCGGCAAGCAAAAGTTTGGCACATTAGTGCCTGCGTTCCGGTCCAGTGCAGTCTGCAAAAAATAGTGTTTGCAGCATTTTTTGCAGATCGCACTGGAGCGGAACGCAGACACTAATGTGCCAAATGTTGGGGTTTCCGGCGATTGCACCGTGGGTGGGGGGCGTGGCTGCGTGCCATTGAATTCAATGCACCGCCACGCCCCCTCCCGCCCCAAAACAAAGGGAGTCGGCCGGGTTGCATTCCAGAGGCCGAACGCACTGGAACACACTCTTGATGATGTGACAGGGGCCCTCAATGTATATCATACTCTCTTCGTACACAAAAACATCTTAAATGTATTCTGCATGCCTTGTAATTGAAGCAGCTATAATGTTTGTCTATCTGTAAAGTCAGGAAATGACTCCACTAGCCCACAGAATGCAGATTAAGTTCAAATATTGAAAACTTTGAGTGTTTACTGGTCATTGAGTTCCTTTTTTTAACAAACTGCCATTACTGTCATTAATTTCTTCTTCTTTTTTTCCAGTATTACTGATCATCGATTTGAAAAAGTTCCTTACTTTGTCTTTGGAGATTTTAACTTTCGACTGGATTTAAAGTCGGTAGTAGAGGTAGGATGTATACTATTTATTATTTGTCTCTGGGAACATGAATGTGATGGACATGTGCTATTCTTTGTGTTCTCTTTTTTCTAAAATAATTTCTGTTAAAATGATGTTTTTCTCCAACGAATTTCAAACTTTCACTCGGTACATGCAGAGCTTTACTTGGTCAACCTGTGTGAGTGAGAAGGTAAATATAAGCAGCTGTAGGGGTTGTCACTAAAGTTGCTTTTCAAACACATGTTGCGTTCATACATTATTTCAGTTTACTTTACTTCCTGTCTGGTAAAATGGTTGTCCAAGGACGGGAAGCTAGGGGAAATCTCTCTATCGCAGATTTTCTTCCTGTCTCCTAAAACTTTGTTCCTAAAATATACAGTGTGGGGAATTCTCTCAAATGGAGCACTGGATAGAAGTAACACCTGACAGGGATTCTACCATTTTCCCATTCCATCAAAAATGTAAAAAAATTAAGTTTTGGTTGTAGATATGCTTTAAAGTTCAACTGTGCCCATTTGTTTGCGTGGAAAACGGCGCTGAAATCAAAACGTGATGTGTGAACAGAGCCTTAGAGCATACCTCATTTATCTATATTAAAACAGTTACGTTTTATATGTAGACTGTGAAAGTAGTTTTTTTTAATGTCAATCTGATAGAACCTACTTTACCAGGACGAGCATAGTATGTTCTATGAGAACATGTTTTGCATTGGAAGAATTGAAAAAAATATATACTCCTTATACCCCATTTTCTTTCACTCTCACCTAGGTGAGGGTGATGTTGCTGGTTCCTGATACAGGATCCGGGTATAGCTGATGATCCCAAATCCAATGGGAATGTGCTCCTGCACAGTGCTAGAGCATCTTCTAATGGGATTTACAATCCTCAGATTTCCCGAGATCCCATGGTGAGGCCCAGAGACTGACAGGAAGCTGACTAAAGCTAGGGTGTTAGATAAGTATTTTTATCCTTTTTCCTCCAAGGTTCTCCTTTTATTGCTTCCATTTTTTTGTGGGGGGGTTATCTGTATAGTGTGAGACAAGCAGTTGTGGTTTCCCACTTTTCCAGTAATTAAAACTGTTCCTGTTATAAATTAAAACTGTTTCTGGGTTCTCATGTTCCAGTTGACATTAAATGGTGGGAAAGTAGCAGGTCTAACAACTACGCAGAAATACTGACAAATTAACGGGACTTCATTGCTTTGTTACCCTGCACACCTAATCAATTGCTGGGTCCTTTACACCTCTTTAATTGGTGTCTGTTCTGCTCTACACTGGAGATTAGTGTACCTGAGGCCGGGCTTTATTATTCCCCTAATCACAGCTACAGCAGCTGTGTTTGTTCTGCAGGTTCATACTTTTTGTACCTTATGTATGCCTGCTTTGGACAATGCTGACATGTAGCTAATTAGCTAACTGTAAATCACCCTTTGTTCCAGATCAGGGGTTTGTTTCACGATCGAAAGTGACAGCCCTATTTCTTTTACGGGTTTTCTTTCATCCTCCTGTTGAAACAATTAGTATATTCGAATATGTGTCCACTTTTTAATTTGTTATTTAATCATTGCCTTATATTTTACTATTTAAAGGGCCATTTCACCCAAAACTGGTACTTAAATTTTTAGTAGATGCAGAGTGATTTGTTAATTTCTTGTATTGCATCACATAATCAGCACTTCTTTTTTTTTTGCTCTTTCCATTTAAATTTATAATACAGGTATTGTTAGATCTTCTCAGTAGAACCATAACCGGTTCTTGCATCCAGTGGTGGTGGCTATTGCTAAGGTCTAGTTCACACCTAGGCTTATTGCATATGCGCGTCTGTCGCGCGTTTTGGTCGCGCAACCGTCGCGCGTTTCCGAAGGCTACTTGGCTGTATCCCAATGGAAACGCGCAACAAAACGGCCCAAAGTAGTACCTGTACCTTTTCAGGCGTGGGCCGTTTGTAGCGCGTTAGGGACGGGCAGAAATACGCCAAGGTGGGAACGAGACCATTGAATACAATAGGATTTATATTTTTGAGCGTTTTGTAGAGCGTTCGTCGAGCGTAGAACGCGCTACAAAACGTTCAGGTGTGAACGAGGACTAAGGGGGGGTGGGGGTTTTGTGGTCTATTAAGGCTCAGCACCAGCTCTATATTCCTTATCGTCCTACAAGATCTATTAGACAATTGTGTTACTGTATACATTATTAGTTTTGTTTATTTTGCTCTGACCAGATTCCCAATCGTGTCATGCTTTATTTTTTCAAATTGGTTCTTTTAAGTCACACTAGACTCAGGAGTTAACTCTAACAAATACATTTAGGTACCCGAACTATAAACAATAATGTATCTTATTTGTGCATCACTCAGCTGTAGATCCTGAAATCATCTCTGAATTGGTGCTGACACTGTCCTTCCTTCTGGAGGATGGCTACTTTTCTTTTAGATAAACCCTGTGTGTGTTATAAAGTAGCCACCGCTCCATGCTTGCTCCAGTGATGGATTACAATGTCAGCAAAATTGGTAAACTAAACATGAGATAGTAGTCCATCACAGTGAGCTTGGAGTGGTGGCTACTTTACTACACACACGGACCATGGGGAACAAAAGTAGCCACCCTCCAGAAGGAAGGACAGTGTCAGCGCCAAATCAGAGATGATTTAAGGATCACAAATAAGTAACATATTTTTGTTAAGGCCTCATTCACACACAACGCAAGAGCAAAATTGTATTGTGCTTGTATACGCGCACATGCGCGTGAATACGCGCATATACAAGCGTATGTGTATGTGAGTATATGCGTGCACTATATGCAATCCCAGAATGCATCATTTGTAATAGAAACTTTAATGAACTGTACGTGCGTGTGCGCACACAAACATGCGTGTATGCGCGTAAAATTCGCAGATATACGCTGCTCGGGCGCATCTCGGTTCCATTCCATTTTTACGCTACGCAAATATACAGCTCCATACGCAGCTATGTGTATGGAGCCATTTATTTGCATATGGTACAATACGGCACGTACGCGCGTCAGTGTGAATGAGGCCTAATAGTTAAGGTACATGCATTTTTAAGATTTAACTCCTGAGTATGGTGTCACTTTAAGCACACTAAAGTAGTATTTGTGTTTAAAATAGTTTTTGTACAAAAATGAAACGTGTATAACAGACATGTCAGAAGGGTGTCCTTTAAGTTGGGAAAAAAATTAAATATTTATTTTTTACACCTTTTACTTATTCATGTTATGGCTAACTGGAAATGTTTAAATACTCTATATACCTGTAGATATACACTACGTACTATTTGGTGATACTTGTGCTTCTTTTTCTCAACTGTTGAAAAGAATGGCCAAGCTGTGTATTTCAGATGAGTGACAAGTGCTTTATATGTGGTTTCAGTAATTTATGTTTTCATGTGCCTCGGTGGAAAATCCATCTAAACTGATTTTCATAGAAAATGCTTGGGCCACCTTTTCAGGAGTGCACTATAGTTCCCGTGAGTGCAGCCTAGAGTTTTTGTTGGGACTCTTTTGTTGTTGTATAGAGGCTGTTCGGGTGAAATATATCAACATCTCACTGCCAGTAACCAAATCAATGACTGTCTGTCAATCACTAAGGAAGAACGGCTTACATTGCCTGCTTCCCACTGAGACTATTGAAGACCACACAGGCTTGTGCAATCTGCAGAATTAGCCAGTATGGCACACCCCCCAAATTCCTTAATTACATTACAACACTTTTTTTTTGTTTGCCTTAACTTAATATTTGCTTCAAGGTTTTATATTAATAAAATAAACTGTAAAGACAATATAGGTGTGAATCAGGGGTCATGACTCCATAGTACAGCCACATAGCCATCAGCAACCATTGTTAAGTGCCTTTCTTCCCATGACTTTTTATCAGAGAAAGATCCTGATTTTGCAGATCGTCTGTTGAATGTATTGTCTTACATTTTGCTGAATTTTCGAGCACAGGTAAAATGTTTGAACTTGATCAAACCTATTTCAATATGAATAGTCCCCTGCAATATATTGACATGATGGTATATTTCAATTGGCAAGGGTTTGACAAAAAAATTAATATATACCCAGTACTCTGTGATGCATTAAGAGAGAATGGGCCCTAGCTAAGGTACAAGTTTTGCTCCCCCTAGCCCCCCCCCCCCGTTCATCTCTGCATTTATAAAAATTGCAATAGGCATAGAAATATTACATTGTCTTTTCTGGTATGCTCTGCCCAACTGCCTACAAATGCATCCCCCTGTGACAGCCAGATGCACAGCTTTGACTAATTACAGTATCTCACTGAGTTATTGTAGGAGCATGAAAGTTGTAGCTGGGCCCCCAGAAAATTCATCGGGCCCTAGGCAACAACAGATTGTTTGTTGCTTGATCTGGCTCTGCAAGCAATATCTATCAAGCATATAAATGAAATTGCCACCCTTTGCTTTCAGAACAGCTCTAGTCCTTGGAATTCTGGCATATAAGTCCTGAACTGTTTGTAGGGGGAATTGCAACAGTTGGCAAGAAGTTTCAAAGCTTTTTGCTTTCTCCAAATGTATACCTCCATGGATGCAGGGAAGTAGGAAATTGAATGATGTTCTTTATAAACCGATCCAGCTTGGAAACATTTAAGAATTGAGGGGAAGGGGGGCTGGGAAGTTTGTATTCTAAACTGAAGCTGTCTTTTAATAAGACATGTGTACGATTTGTTGTTGGGATTTCGTTTTTTTAAAGTTACCGTACATTATGTTTTTATCTTGGTGTGTTATGTCTTTCATCCCATGCAGATAAATACATCTGCAAATAGAAAACCGATATGTTCACTTATCCTGAATTATTTTCTTTAGTTGGGGACCCTTTTGTAAGAAGGTCTCTAAAAATAACTATTCTGCAGACATATTAATCCACATATAACCATGATCTACAGCAAGGCTGGATTCAGACATACGTGACTCCTTCCTGGAGCCAAAAAGCCTGACTGCAGCTCTGATGAGGGTTCTGCCCCCCGTAGGTACCCCATTTC